TTGCAAGCACTGAAACAGCAAAGGCAAGAGTTACTCACCTTTCAAAGCAGAAAGGATGGCCATGAAAAATCTACGGGCACACACAGTGTCCCCACAAGGGACAGAGCCAAGCCTTGCTTTTACCACCAAAGTGGCTGATAAGAACAAATGGCTTCCAGCCATGCATTATTGAAAAACGTCTTCAGAAAAATACAAGCATCTGCTTTTGATGCCTTGGAAAGCAATGGAAAAGCAGGCTGTAGTTACAGCAAGAGGGAATAGGGAGCTAAGGGAACAGGAGGAGGGTTTCAGCACTTTGCAGAACCGGTCCTTCTCACATGGCTGGCTATTGCCTACTAAGTCTTGTGCCCATTGCCTTCAGGGAACAGCATTCGTCCTCAGCTCTTCTAGACCCAACACAGCTCCTCAAGCAAATGCTCATCAGAGAGTTGTTTCCCCAGCGCCTGGCTCTTCTTCCACTGGAGAATTGCCATTGACTTAGCCAAAATTTTGAACCCCCAAAGAGATGCAACTCTTGCCTCCTTCTGTCTTTTGGAGAAACAGACCCATGAGCCAGACAGTCTTCCACAAGTTTCACAATGAGTGGTTTGCAGAGCCAGGAACAAAACTTTGGTCCACCTGACTTCCTTTGAACACGAAACCTGCAGCAGGGAAGAGACACCTTCAGTGTGCACTAGGGGCACCTCCCAGGGTACTGCCAGTGTTGGAATGGGGGGACGGACACATTCCCTTCACCTCAAGTCCTCCTGCCCCATGCTGGCAGTTCCAATCTGGACCACATTGAATGCATTGAGGCCAGCTTTTACAGCACATTTATTTCAGCAGTGATCTGTAAAGTTGCACTGGCAGAGAAATCTCAAGCTGCAGAACAGATTTTGTTTTAGTCTTGGTATAAGCTGTGATTTACTCTTCTAGCAAAAGCTGCTTTATTAAACACAAGGTTCTGTAAAACTTTTCCTTGTCCAGAGCAACACTAGGAGTTAACTACCTGATTTTCACAAAAAGAGAATATAAGATACCACCCACAGCCTGAACTGGCTCCATATTTCCCTGCTGTCAAGCAAAGCAAGGTTTCAGAAGCTCCATTGCACCCCCTTGCCTCTGCTCACATGTCTGAAGAGGACACATCAAGAGGGTGAGGAGGTGGTAAAGCCACAATCCAGCCTGTCCAAAGCAACAATCCACATACCAAGGCAGAGAAAACAAGGAGGGTTTAGCCATTGAGTAAGAGACTGAGTCCCTCCAGGGCCTCACTGCTCTGCTCTTTAGTTCTGTTACAGTTCACAAGATATTATACCAGGTAGTCCAGGACTGCCAGCAGCAACTGCTGCTCAGCAAGGATCCCAGCAAATAACGTCTCAACTATAATTACCTCCTAGCTTGTCTCCTCTCTAAAAGTAGCAAAGTTAGTTAAACAGCTTTGTTCATTATCTCCTCCTATGGCCTATGCTGTTCATAGGCAGAATTTTCACTATGCGTTTTTAGCATCTCTCTTCACAACACAGAAAAGCAACCAGACAACAGAAATGCACAAGACGTCTCCGCTTGTACAGGAAACATTTTTGTTATTCTGTGCTGTCCCACCTGAATCTGCTTTCTGCCATTCTTGCAGACCCCAGTGTAGAAACAGAAATGGATATGATTGCAGCCTTGTGTTTTACAGCTACATGAGATGAATCTCATATGTACAGAGGAGAAATAATTCCCAATGAGTTGCCTACCTGATTTTTTTCAGCCCTTCCTGTTTGCAGATCATACCAGGAGTCTTCAGCTTCTCTGAATTCATTCATTACTCAAATTATTTACTGAGTGATTTCTGGGGTCTATTCTCAGCCTGTGAAATTTTCCATTTCAGAAATTTAAGCTGCTTTGTTGAGTTGAGAACAGACATGTGTTTTGTGTAGGTATATCTGGGTCTCCTTATTAAGGTGAGAAGTCCTAGATTTACATTTTTGATGCATCTACACATTCACAACACATCAGGGGATAACACAACCTTGCTCAATAGCAGTCCTTTAGCTGGGGATCACAGTGGCTGGGACAGCAGGCAGAGTTCTTGGTAATGATGTTGAATCATAGGGGTGCAAGCATTTTTTACTGCCCTCTCTGGGAGGAAACCCTGGAGGAAACAAAGTGTTAACACTATTACTCTGTGAGATTTATGGCCTGTAGTGCCTTCCAAAAACAATAATTTCATAGAGTTCGGCTGCTTCTGTGGTCACTAATAATGTCTCTCAGCATCAGACTCTCTAAGAAGTAAGTAGCCAAGCACCTTGCAGAATAAGCAGCATCACATTCTGTCACACTTCCAGGGAACACAGCAAAGATCAAGGGCTCTACAAGGCTGAAAAAAGGGAATAGCCTCCCTGTTTGATTTTTATCAGCATTAGCAAAGCTGAGAGAAAAAACGGAGAGGATATCCCAGGAACTGACCATTGAAGACAGAGTTCTCTTGATGCCCAGTGGTTAAACCCTACTTTCTGCTGGATTCTGTGAGACAGCACATGTTTGTACTGGCTTTGGCTAGGATAGAGTTAATTTTTTTCATAGCAGCTTGAGCAGGCAGCTCATCAGCTCCTTCCATCTCCATGCTTGGAAAGAAACTGAAAGAGCTGTTTGTAAGACACACACACACAGAGGAGTCTCCTTTCCACAGCTCTGCTTTGACAACTGCACTGTAATGCATCTCCGATACTGCGCTCCATTCCTCCCCTAAAGGCCTCTCCAGTGGCCAGAGTTTTATTAACGCAATTTTACCTCCTGCTCAAAGTTTCAGTACCTTGGACACATTTGGAAGGCCATGAGATTCTCTGATCGTGTCAGAGTACTTTTTCATGTATATTGATGGAGAAAAGAAACCACATGAACAGAGCCATGCTTGTAAAACCTCTGTGGATCTAGTAAAAGGTCACCCTTTCCCTTCCCCACAGCCAGCACCCTCATTTTTGGGTGCAGATGAATTCTTGCTAAGCTACTGAAACAGCCAAATTAACTTGAGCAAACAGCAGAGATGGCTAATGATCACCAAGCACAAGCACGTACTTAAACACCACCACACAGTTTCCAGGATTGACAGCTATAAAGTGAAGGGAATCATTAATTTCACAGGGATTCTGTGTCAACTGTGCTGTTTCTTTCTATCAGAAAGTTCACAAGGCAGGTTCGGGAGGAGGAAACTAGAGAAAAGAGAAGGAGCCCAAAAAAGTTTGGATGTTGGAAATCAGTAGCAAATACAGGAGAAGTGAGAAGAGAGATACCATTGAGTAGTTTAATGTTCTGGCACTTGCATTGCCTATTGATTAGAAAGTGAAAAAAATGCAGATGAGGATAGAGGACTGATGACAGAAGAATCAATGGCTTCTTTACAGGAGTCATTCAATAGTAGTGAAGGAAACTGGCCATTTTGCAGAAATCGCATCAGGTGGGTGTGAGCTGGCACAATCTCCCATTCCCCAAAGGATAAGGATGTCCAGGCCTTTCACCTCCCACCTGCTTCTCATTAGCTTGTGCTGCTCCTGAGCACAGTGGAGTGAGGAGAGAGGGAAAAGCCCAGCTCTATTCCTGAGCCTGTTGCGAACATGTTGGCTGGCCCTAGGCCATCATTTCTGTAAAAGAAATTAGATGATACCTCTTCCCGCTACCCAAGTGTTCTGCAGGTCAATTAGTGAATGCTTGCATGGTACTTTGAATATACTGAACTGTAGAACAAGCAGCTGTTACTATAAATACATTGCTGACCACAGAGTACCATTGAGCACACTGTTTATTAAGCTGGAGCTGAGGAGAACTTCACACTCACTGTGATCTATTTAATAGTTGCTACATTTATTTTACTGTGTACCTAAATACATGCAAGGGGCTAACAAGACACCTTGATTAGATACAGAAGATTTATGTCATTGCATCACAGTAATTTCACTTTCACACTGACCACAGCCTGACTGAGGTTGTGACTTGGATCCTTGACAGCTGTCCCCTGTTATCATACTTTTCTGATTAATGTGAAGACAGGACATATGGAAGACACTTTCTTTCTAAACCAAGAACACATGCATGAGTGACCATGACAAATACAGGGATCAAATCCCCATGTTAACTGCAGGAACAAACAGAGATGCAATTTATTATCCTCTGCATCACAAACACATCCAGCTTTGCAGTGAAACTTTAGAGATGTCGCTGACTTTCACTGCTTATTGACTTTGTCATCCAGGCTCCTCTCACTGCTGCACTAAATCTTCTGGGACTCAGGTGGGAATGACAGAGCAAGAATGGGGCAAAGCCCCTGGAATGGCCACTGTTCAAGACACCTATCTTGCAAACAATGTTTCTAGGCCACCCTACGCATCTAACAACACATGTCTACATCCGTGTTGGCTCGCCAAACTGCCTTGACAAGAAACAGAGAGATCCTTTCACTAATTGACTAATTAGTGGAGATAGAGAGGCATCCAGATCATGACTCATGCAGTCTGATACATCTTACCTGGGATAAAATGAACATGACCTAGAAACACTTCATCCTTGTTGCTGTTGATGCCTACAGCAGTGCAACATGACTCCACACAGCAAGTCAACACAACATTATCTATATATTTTTGTCTGGAAGTGGTGAAATCTCTAGATAAAATAGGAGACATCCAGTCTGACAAACCTCTGCTTGCAAACAAATGGTTCCTTATAACAGCTACCAACTGATATTGAGAGCAAAAGCCTCTAAACAAGCAGCAGCTATTGCTTCATGCTCCTCTTACAACAGCTCCCACAGTTTCTTCCCATGCAAACTTATTTTTTGGAAAAATCAGCAGCAATGTCACTCTTGGCTTGAAAGTTCAGTCACCACTGAATGCTTCAGCAAGCCCATACAGAGTGTGATGCAGGGACACAGCAAACACTGGTGTTGATAGAGGGAAGAAGGGAGGGAGAGACACTGTTCCCTCAACAGCCAACATTTTAAGCGGAGCCAACGACTGACAGGCCCTGCCAGCTGGAGCACTCACCAGGTTGACGAAGTCCTGGTAGCAGATCCGCCCCTCGGAGTTGCTGTCTGCCAGGGCCAGCAGGACCTCCAGCTTGTGGGGGTCCAGCTCCGAGCCGTGTCTCTGGAGAAGGGAGCGAAACTTCTCGGTGCTGATGTAGCCAGTGTTGTCAGGATCAAACTGGTATAGGAGGGGAAAGTGACAGAATTAACCATTCCATGTTACACACAACTCTGCCCTCCTATGAATTCATCAGCTGCTGCAGACTCACAAGGACCCCAGGGCTGCTCTAGGCTTTGGTGACACATTGCCCTGCAGTCACCCCATCCTCAGCTTCCTTTCACTGCCCAGGGACTGCAAAGCACCCTGCTGCAGAGAGGGGTAAACCCAGGCACCATCATCCACACCTTCACCCTGTCTCCACCCAAGCTTCCGCTAAGTCAGGTCCCTTTACCTTCCTTCCCCCTGCATTACCTCTTGGCTGTTTTTTACATCCCTATTTATCTGGACTATCAAGCAAACCAGAGATGCATTCTGTGAGATAAGATGTACTGGAAACAGTTTTACCCCTGTATTTCCTAACACAATTGCAACACAGGAATATGCTATCCCTCCTCAAACCCTTTCTGTGCTCAGTGTTTCTGACAGTCACCTTTCCAGATCACCTTCAAAATGGTAAGCACTTTCACTGCTGAAGAGCTCTCTCTTTTAAGACGGATTGGAAAAAAGTTTTTGGACAGAGAGCAAAGCAGATGAACGCTATGTCAAAATAAAAGTGACAAGGCAGCCACATGCTGTTTTCAGAATGTAAACTAGAGTCATTAGAAGGAAAGTCCCAGGTGAGATCTGGAGTGAATCCCACTCTGACCAAAAACATTACTGTTTTCCTTCAGACTAAGTGGTTCACCTCCTAAAAATGCCACTGATCAAAAAGAGACAGCTTTGCAAGTCTGTTCAAACTTACAACTGCTTCCAGCGGCCTCTAACCCACACTGAGTTCCCCAGGGCACTCTGCGAGGGGCTGCCAGCTCACAGGCGGGCACAGCCCCAGCCCTGACAAAGCCAGTGCTGGCACCACGCCGAGCGCCTTTCTTTTGTGCCTTGAAAACTAGTGGACGCAAGCTGCCACACCAGCCCGCACTAGCGGTGGTGCAGTCTGATCTCTGCCAGCTCTCTGTTGCTGGGAGATTTGCCTTTGATTTCCCAAACTTGGCTGTGAGGACCCTGGTGCTCACTGGACTCCTTTTGTAGATAATGATATCAAACTTGTTGGCTGGATTGAATGGCTGTCAGAGGCCACAGTGGTCAGGAGGGAGTCTTTTCATGGAAACATTTGGGACATAAAAGGCCTTGGCAGAGCCAAAAAGGTCCTGACAATCCTCGCTCTTTCCTAACGGAGAATAAAAGCTGAACGGGCGCTGAGCCTTCGATCAGATGCAGCAGTGTAAAAGCTGCCTTGGCAAGGGAAGGGGTGAGAAAGGGGATGTGGCAGAGGATGCAGCCTGCCAGCAGCAGGGCTGGCACTGCTCTGCAGTGAGCAGAGCAGCTATAAAACAGACCGGCTTCAGGCACGGGTAGCTTGTTTAGAGGACACAGGGTGCACGTGCAAGAATCTGGCTCGTCTCCTTCCAACCTGAGCACCTTTGTCCCGCTGCTTCTGGGGACTCTGCTACTGTGTGCTGCTTTGTTGAAGAGGAGCTGTCTAACCTGAGGAGGGGATATCACAGCCCCTTGCTGGAGTAGGGCTGGTTTGCTATTTTGTCAAAGCAGCAACCCCTCTGTGAGAAGCTGCTGGGGCAAGTGGATTATACAAAACAAGACAAACCAAGTGACCTGCAGACAGTCAGAGCTGGGCACTCTCCCCACCCTCTGCCAAGGGTTGTTCTGTCCTTGCAAGGTGGCCTGGATGTACCTTCCTGACAGCTGGCACCCAGAGCCAAAGGTGGATTTCATCAGCTGTTTACTGTTAAACAAGGGCTTAATATTAATCCCTGGAGAAGTTTAGCTCCCCTACTCCAGTCAGCCCACACTGATGCTTTAAGTTAACAGATCAAATTCTAAAACCAACCCCAAAATCATGGCTACTTCACTCAGGCTCAGCTCTGATGCTTTTTGGCTCTTGCTGGGACTCCAAAGCCTAAGTGTGCAGTGCCCAATACAAGAGGCACAGATACCTAGGAAATAAAGTACTATTAGCATAATACCTGAGATGACCTTCCTCAAGGGGAATTTGCAGAAGCTGGGAGATGAGTCATTCAGCAAATGGATCTAACACCTGCAATCCCATAGATACTGCTGTGTTCATCCTTGTTTCCCAAAAACATTTGACCTAACCAACATCTTACTTAACTGTACCACTTTAACTATATCTTGACATTTAAGATGTCAGAACTTATCTTGTTTAGGACAAGACCATTTGCTGCTTGAAGGCTTAAATGCCTCCCTACTTTGAGGGCCAGGGTCAGTGACTGAAGCGTGGAACTCTCCCCCCGTGCTGTGTGCTCACTGTTTGACTTTGTAGGAAAGACCAACAGTCACAGCAGTGGGGAACACGGCTATTCCTTCAAAGGGCAGAAGAGATACAGAGCTGAAGCACACAGGCTCCCAAAGCACAAAAGAGCTGCTCAGATCACAAACCACTGTTCCCAGACTGTTCTGCTTTAAAGCATTCCAAAAAGAAACATTTTGTAACCAAGAACAGAAATTACACAACTGCTTCAGAGCTTCAAACCAGCCCACAAGGACACACTAGTGACTCCAGACTCACTAGCACTAGAGCAGATACAATCCTGTCGCTGAAGACAGTACTGTCCATACCTGGCACTGGCTGCTGGTTTTCCAAATGGACAGACAGCTGAAGCTCATCTGGTGGCTATGAATGAGCCTCTGCTCCAAGGATGCTTCTTTCTCACACCAATAGGCAACAGCATTCCTCCTTCAGCTCACTGTCTTGCTGCTTGTCCCACCAAAATCAAAGCAGTGGCAGAAGGTAGCTAGTATTTTCAGTACTGTAAACATGCTAGGGAGCTTGATCTTCTCTTTAACGTTACTATGTATAATTTCCTTGGCACTAAGTTAATGATACTAATTAGAAATAAATTTGAATTAAAATGGTGGATCTGGACAGCATGAAAAAATAAGAGGTGAACAACAAACAACTGGCATCTAAACTAAAAAAGCCTGCCTCGGAGCAGGACTAGACCACTGCTTCCACAACCTTGAGCAGAATGTTTTACTGTAAACCACAGATGTAAGGGAGTTCTCTTATTTATTTAAACATTTTTTTCAGCATATAAAAACCTCATCTGTCACCACACCACTCAAAATTCACCCCAACACTTCAAACTGCCTCAAGCCCTGTTTCTGATATCACAGCTAGCCACAAAAATCAAGGAGTTGAACTGGTCCAGCAGAACATGTGTCCCCACACATGGCAAGAGTGTGTGATAGCACACCCAAAACACTTGGGTCCATCAATTATAAAAGAGGCAACTGACCTTTGCTAGACGCTTCATGTATTTATCCATGATGATCTTGTTAAGGGCCAGTTGTCCCACAAGCCCAGCCGAGCACCTTTGTCTCATCGAGAGGACAGATGATGACTGGCAGCCAGCCGCATGGCTACGCTGAGCCCCAGGTCCAGCCCCACAGGGAATGCTCCCCAGGCAAAGCCTCCCCTCAGCCAAGTCAGCCCAGTGGCTTCCTTCAGCGTAGTTACTTCTGCCTCTGCCTGTCTACTTGGGCAGACAAGTGCAACACAACTGGTGCAGGGATGAGGAAGGCCCTTTGCCCCCTCCCCCCCCCCAAAGAACAGGACACTAACGGCAATTTCATGCAAGGTTTCCTCCGCATTTCAATGACAATCATTCTTAACTCCCTTGATCCTCACCCAGGCTCTTAAGCAAAAATGTAAATATGTTAATGACCGTAGCAGCCATCTGACCCAGGATCTTAATTCCCTGGCCCAAAACAAGCTATTTTTTCCTATTTTTCCTTATTTTAGAGCAGACACTCCACAAACTGAAGGCCCCACAGCAAAACTCCAAGACAAAAATAACGGGAGGGGGCCCTGCAAACTCTGATGGAAATAGGAAATATGGTTGAGAAAAGAAAATGAAAACTCAAATTGTTCCTCCTCTTTAATTAAAGACATATCAGCCACGCCTGAGTGAGCAAGTAGGGTGGAGGCTGGTGCTGCAGACAGACAATGGGTATCTTGGGAAAACACAGACATTTCACAGAGTGCAGCCAGCTGCTCCTCTCCCCCATGGCAAACAGCCCTCTGGGGCATCAGAGCAGCTGGAGAGTCAACAGCTGAACTGGGCACAACATGAGGAACCTTGGCTGGCTTTAGGATTGCAGATCTGTTGCAGGAACAGAGAATCTGCTACCAGCCATAGTTTCCCCATCAAGGGGCTTTGTCTTGGCATGAAGAGGAGTTATCACCCAAGCCATAAATTGTCTTTGCAATAGGCAAGGCTCCAAGCAGCTTCATCTAATTTAGAAGTTGGCTTTGAGTTGGATCAGTCCCTTCAAACCTGAATCATTCTATGATCTGGTTGTACCTTCACTTCTGGGAGAGACTGGCCTGACAGTTAGGAGTCCTGGTACTGACCCCAGCTCTGCTCCAGACTAGGAGGCAGATTCTGGAAATAAATTGTCCCCTCCTGCCTTATTTCCCACCAGAAGGGAGCTATCAACAGTAGGCCTGCTTCTTGTTCACATGTAGGTCTCCTTTCCCACTGGAAAGGGGGAGTCAATCACGTGCAAAATCTGTTCATCTCCAAGGGTTTCAGAAACCACTCTGAGCTTTGCTGGATTTGAACTCAGACCGTTAGATGGCCCAGTATGCGCAATCTAGGGATGCTAACAAGCTTTGGAAACAACCAGACCATCTCCAGGCTCAAGTGCCATGTGATTGTTAAATCAACAGTCTCCAAGTCAATGCATGGAATTGACAGACTCCAAGTTGAAGCTGTGAGAAGACATTTAAGACAGGCATTGAAACCCTCCCCAAGATAGCCATACATCTTACTAGAGCCCATTCTCTACCTTTCCAGTCTCTGGGGTCATGCTCTGAGTTGGGGAGATGGGTTTGGTTTTTTTGTTTAAAAAACGAAACAAACCCCCAAAAAAACAACAAAAAGCCCCAACCACAACACAGCAATGTGACAACAGTGTATGTAGCATTTCCTCCTTTGATGAAGATTAAAGGAATGATGAGGCAGAAGATGAAAATCTGCTTTATAATACAAATGAGAGGGCAAAAAGCAGGGGCTGTTTTAACATGACTTTCACCACTGCCTGGTGGTGATGACCTTCCGAGCAGCTTCATGATCCTGCTTCTCTCTTCTAGTAGTGGGAGGCGCACGTGAGAGGAGAAACCCTGATCCTGAAGACAGGAAGGCCAGTGCCTATACTTCCACCTTGAAATCCAGCTTCTCACCATTAAAAGTCACCTAATTTGAGTTGTCTGAATATGTGTGGTAAAACATTAGTGCTGGCTCCAGTGACGCATGCTCTCTTCCCCTGTAAATAATGAATTTACCCACCCCTGTCCAGACAATATAAAGTGATTAAGGGCTGTCCAGCAGTACTTTTAGCGCATGTTAGATTGCTTTGACCTGAGGTGAACCCAGGGGCTGGAAACATCACCCAGTTCTCAAAAGCCAGATTGCATTTAAGCACAGAGGATACACCCTCACTAATTTGCCAAGCAGAGCTCCCAGACAGACCCACTCCCTGGAAAGCCGCAGCGAGAGAGCACGGAGCTACCCAGCTCAGCATTCACCTAGGCAGGGAGGCGTTTGCAGAACAGATGGCCCATCACCTGGAATCTGGTAAGTGTCTCTCTGCATGCAGCTCATGGCAAAGTGGAGATGGAGCTGGAATAAGATTCCCTTTTGCTTGAAGAACAGAATAGCCTGAAGGACCATGTCCATCAGCCAATCTGTACAGGCATTTCTGCTCTAATTTATTTCTCCTACTGTCTTAGGCGCAAAGACGAGGAAGGGACCTACATTACTACCCATCTGTTGTTACCTTCTGCAAAAGCACTTAATCTAAACAGACACTGGAAGCACAGATTCAACATGAACGGGAGAGTAAAGATTCAGGAGTGCTTCACTGCTCAGTTGTTAGGCAGACAGGAAAGAGGACTTTGGGACCAGGTATTGCCAAGATTTCTGGAGTGAGCCCAGATGCCTCTTGCAGTGCCTTGACTTCCCCATCTACAAGGCACAAGCAATGTACCTATGCCTGAGTGATCCAGCACAGTGAGAGTTATAGAGCACTTACAGAGCTTGACTGGATGATAGCTGCAATGGCAAAGGGCATTTAGTGAGCCACAAGGCCAAGCAACACAGGGAGAATATGAACAGAGCTGGCCTTCTGTCAAGGTTTTACGTATGGAAACATATCAGACTTTCCAAAGCCAATGACAGTTTGACACCACACTGAACTTAACTCCACAGAGGTTCAGACCCCTAGTCCAAGTCACCATAGGCCAAGCAAATCCTGCATTTGGAAACCCCAGCAATTTCTGACCCACAGCTTGCCTATCATGCTCAGCCTGATACCCATAATCCATGTTTCTGTGTCCACATACATTTTTAATGCAACTCGCTCCCCTATCCCTCCTCTGCCTATGGGTTTCTTACTGCAAGTCCTTGCTAAGACACCAAGAGAGGATAGAGTTGACATGCACTCACAGGACCTGTTGAGCTGGCTTTTAGTCCTCTGCTGTCTCAACGACCCACCACTCTGTGTGATCCCACTGCCTCTCTCCAGATCAGCCACCTGGCAGAACACTCGAAGGAATCAGCCTCCAGTCTCAGCTGGGGAATTACACAGTGTTCAAGCCACCCGGAACTAAATTATTCAAAATATGCCACTGTGCTGGCTTTGAAACCAAAGCTCCTCCCCAGAAAGAAGCCAGGGTAAATAGAAGCTCCATTATCAGCAGCACTGATGAGGAAGGAGATGCAGCACTGAAAGTGAGGGAGATAATTACATGATTAACGAGACAGCATGGATGGCAGGAGATGCCCTCCATTATGCCACAAGGCTTAATGCAAAGAGACGTGTTTATAGACTGAGACTTCTCCAGCTCTGCTTCTTCCTGTTTTATTATTTATGTAAGTGCATTAACACTAATGGAAAGAAGCTGAAGCACTCTAAAAGTGGCGGGGGTTTTTTTAGGTGGAAATATATTTTTTAATCTTGATCCAGCACTGGGCACCTTGCACATTTTGCTGGATAGATGTCCTCAGCTATAGCAACAGGCTGGGCAGGTTACAGCCCAGACTACCAAGTTACATGTCTTCTGTCACCAGCCCAGCTCTGGTGCTGGGTATCTGCACATTTCTGAGATTATGGACAAGGTGATGCCTACAAGAGATCACCTAGTGACTGCCATGACCAGACATACTCTAACAGTTAAAACCTCTTAAATCCTTAGGCAAGAATTTTAGCCCTCTTTCCAGATCCGCTTGTCAGCACTGGTCCAGCCATTGTTATACGTACAAATGCCCAATCTCTTGCTCTCCCTTTTGAATTCCTCTAGTTTTTAGAGTTCCACAATCTCCTGAGGCAATAAGCTCTGCAGTCTAATTAAAATAAACCCCACTTTTCATCTGGATGGTGTAAGGCATTAAATATCAAAAGCTGAAAACAGCAGCATCCATACTACCATGATACATGATATTCTAATTTACCACCACATAATTATTGTTTATGTCTTTTTAGTCATGTCTTATTGGAGAATCTCAAAATCCGGTATCAGTATTAATTACATCTCTCAGTGCTTCTACATCGTGAGGGGACATAATGCGTAAGCCGCTTCATTCAGAGCTGAAATGCAATACACTGCGGGTGGGATGCTGCATTTATTTGGACTACATAACTCAACAGGAGACATAGCATGCACAGTCAACCTCACAGTCTGGAGACAGACAGGCTCTAATGAGTATTGCTATGAGGAAATTAAAAAAAAACACAAAACCAAACCACAACCAACCACCAAACATAAAACCAACACACAATAGTCAAAATAGCTGTTCAGCTGGGGCTGTATTTCAGGCCAAGTTCCTGCAGTCAGATCCCTGCTTACCCCCAAGTTAACTCGAAGTACACAAGCATTTCTGTAAAATTCACTGCTATTGTCAACATCTCCTGTCACAGCAGTGACTCTGCTGATACAGACAAGGCAGATGAATCTTCTCATTCAAAACAGGATTTTGGTCTAGTATCATCTGGAAAAAGTAGCACAGATGATACCAGCACAAAAGAGTCATGATAGTTGAAATGCTTCTGTTCTGTATTTGGACAAAAGTGCAATGAATTATCTCTATCATACAATGATGATACACTTTCTGTCCCAGCAGTAACTCTGGAGAACATTACACAGCAGCTGCTGAAGTTAGATAGTTTTGAATCAGCAAGTCAAGGTAACTTGCATCCAAAAGTTTTTAAAAAGCCAGTACTAATACTGATTTTCTGCAAGTCTGGGAACACTGGAGGAACACCA